AGCTTTAAAGTAAAAAGATATGTTTGTCGTGGAGTACAGTACAGAAACAGAATGTAGATAGAGTGGCCCGGCACGTCCCGACAGCTTCCAACAATAATAATTAATTGACTCGTCCGTTCGTTATCGTGCTTTTATATTGACGTTCCCGAGCGAGCGAGCGAGGCGCATTCGGAATGAAATTTCCATAAAAACTTTTGTGCTCCGGCGGACGTTGCGAGCGCACGTTAAAATCGTCGGGCAATAAAACAGCGGCCGGCGCGGCGAGGCGCGACGAGTCTGCAGCGAGTGCGAGCGGGACGCCGTTATGCGCAGCGCCGAGCGAGCCGGAGCGCGGCAAAAACATCGGCGCGGTTATCGCGCCCCGGCCCGCGCTCCCCCGGCCCGCCCCGCATTAACCTCGCGGCGAGGGTCGAGTCGCCTACTGCCTCGTCGAGCGCCTTCGCTTCGTTCGCTGTGAACGCGCCCGTTCTCTACAATAATATCGCGAGGTTTTAACTTCGAAAAGCTTCGTGTTTACGCGTTCGTTTGGCAGTTTTCTCTCGTTGATTCCCGGCTTTGTTGCACCACAGTGTTGTACCGTTGACGCTCGTCGCGATCGAGACCGACCGACGATTGATTTACGAATTGTGGACCTCCTTCTTTTGAAACGGTAAGTGTACGGTGTACGCCGATCACTCGATTCTCTAACATTGTTCGTAAAGATCATTTTGACATAAACGTCACATCACTTCAATTCAGAACGAGCTTCGGTTGCGTAAGATTTGTTGGTAATCGCTTTCGCTTCAGCGGAATTTTTCCGTAGCGTTGAGTTGTGTTTTGTTTAATTTAGGGGAATCCTCGAGTTTGTATTGTCGAGTACCGAAGCGCATGTTGTTTTGGCCCAGCTGAATTACAGTTGGCTGGGTAGTACTGGGTGGAGTTTGCAGTGTCAAGGCCCAGAAAATTGTTGGTACCTACTACCTCTACTAATTGTGTATGCGGCGTGACACGCGCAATTTAAACGCTCTACTGTGCACCAGACGCCAGTATCAAGGCGGCAGTATCTTACAATTAAAACAGATGATATTATTTACTTTACTTCATATTTTGTGTCTTCGACTCTGTTTTAGAGTTTCCCAACTCAAAAGGAAAAAACCGGACCCTAATAGGACCACTTTGATGCTTGTCAGTTTATCCGTCTGTTAAGACACTTTTTCTCAGGAACTGTTAGATGTATCAAATTGAAATTAATACCAAATACTAAGGTCTACAGTTCCTTTGAGGCGTGAAAACTTCAAGCTTCCAAGTCAACGCAATTTAAAGTTACGTTTATTTATGTTGCCTATTTCGCTATCTACGTATCACTTATCAGTCATCAAAACCTTTAAGATATATACTATCCGTTGACATAGAATCATGCAATTAGTAAAAAACCAAAGTCGTTATAGTAAAAGTAAAAAAAATAATCCAAAAATCGTAAATTTGTTACAAAAAAAAAGATTATTTGCGATTACATTTGCCGTTGGGTATCCTATCGACCGTGATTGAGACGATGTATGAACGTCTTTTTTCACTATAAAGCGGTTTTTACGTGGCAGAGCCAAATTGCAGCTATATTATCAATAGCACGAATGGGTCGGCTCGACTGGGTAAGTACAAGGCTCTCACAGAATACCTGCGTGAAATAGTAGCTTAATGCTGCTATTTCACGCAATCTGGAGATAGGGAAACCCTTTTCACTGGAAACAAGGCATTCAATCTTAGTCCCCAGGGGTGACAACGCATCTGCATTTTGATTCTTAGGCGAGGATAGATGTGGATGTCTAGTTTGTCACATATGCTATATATAAAAAAGTTCAGTTTGTCCTTTCATCTGACTTTTTTGTTAGAGCAGTGTTCGGTGCTTACTATAGGTGTACCCATAACTTCTGGAATGTATGAACTATCTACATACTTAATACGGAACCCTTAGGGCGCTTATCTTGCTGGCATTTGTCCGGTCTTCTTCATATTTTTAAGCTTCTTTTTTAACGCTGTTTCATTTAATTAGCTACTGAACACAGACCTTTCAAGAATGCTCAACCGGCGTACAAGCCAAGAGAGATTTGTCGACGCTCTCAAGTCTACGACGACACGACACGTTGATACTAGAGCACAGAGTATCGCGTGCAGGCGAGGTTGGCATGTCGTTATGTTATTACAGCTCTGCATTTTTACTCCTTTATCCTCAAAGATAAGCTTCTACATTGCGCCCATGATATTCAAATGCAAATAATGCTGGTAGGTGGTAGGGTTAAGCCAATTGTCGTTTTTTAACATTTTACATAATATGATGTTAATTTTCGGATCAAATACCTTTTACGTGACGTTTTCAATTTCATCTCAGGTCTACACGATTGGTAGCCACACTTACGAATAGTTCACACATGACACACACACACAAACATTACAGTTCTGTTATTTTAATAATTTATCAAGAATTACTTCGTCATAAAATAATTTAATAAGTACCTATTTATATTATCAAGATATGTCGTGCAATTTGACTGTTATGTATACCATGTTATGTATATGGGGTACCAATGGCCAAAGTCATATGTCTGACAGTGCATTTTCGGTCAAGCGCATCCTAAATCTCCGAAATTCACTCCATTTTTAACTTTGATTTTACTGTTATGCCAAATTTTAATAATTTTTTTTATACTAATCTACGTAAAATACTCACTGAAATACTTCCGAATACTGAAGGCAGAACTTATGATACAATGTATAAGTTCGTTTGCCACAGTTTTATAAAAAAGACGGATCGGTTTTTATGTTCGTAGTTATTAATTTTTCTAGCAAGTACATGATGTAGTAGTTCTTTTTTATTAAATATCTTTTGGGATACAGCTGACTACAGAAATATTCCAAAGATATTATATAAAAATCTTAACCTAGAATTGAGTGAAGGTGAAAATTTAACCTTTAATATTTACGATCAGGCAAGGGCAGAAATGAAGGGAATAAAATAGTGGCATATATAAATAACGTTTCTACACTTCAAGTTGTTGTCATGAAAGCAGGGAAAAGGATTTCGCTGATTGGGCCTCGTTGTGAGAATGAACGAAAGTAGATTAAGTAAAGGGCATACATTGAACGTGAGTTGAGCTGGGGCAGCTTGAAATGATTGTGCACGTACGTAAACAGTCACTTTAAACCAAAATTTTAAGAATTTTATTCGCATTATTAGTCTCAATTATTATTCTAAGTATTTAAAGAAGTTTATAACCCATGCTGATTTTGTAACCGTTATAAATTTGTTCATTTCTAATCCATATTTTGCTTTTTAGAGATCTTAATAATAAGGGGTGGTATTTATTTTATCACAAATGCATGAAATTAAGTGACCCTTACTTCACCTGTAAATGACATCACAAAGAAGACTGATTTAAGTCCAATATTTAGTGATTTAAAAAATTGAAAACCACAATATTTTCATGTTGTGAAATATCAACGTCTACGTTTATTTATAAAATACGATTCTATCTTTGATTGATTCTTAATTGATCCGCAATAACTCTTGCATTGATTCCTTGCTACGAAAAACTGTCTTCCTAAAGCTTACATTTATTTTAATAATCAACAAGAATGTGTGAAGAAACTCCGTCAATTTATACACAATAAAGAAAAGTTATCTTGTTTAGTCTATGGTACAAAATTTTTTAGAATATATTCTAAATCAACCGGTTTTCTCTTACTTATAGCACAGTCTAAAGAAAGGCTATTTGATCGACTTTATCATGAAATCACAACAATATATGCGACAACCAATTTTTATATCTTGTATTCATTATTATAATTATTACAGACCGTCACAAGACCACTGCTGAACTATGCTGGTCTATGATCGAGGCCTGTGCCTCCTCCAAGGAATACCTGAGCATCATGCATCCATCGATTTCCTTCATCGCTTACCAGGTCATCACTCTATCGAGTGGAGGCCGCCCAACATTTACTTTTAAATCTTTTTTCTCCATCAGTTTGTCCCCCTCCTCTCATACTGCTGCATGCGATGTCTAGTTGCTGGGTGGTGTGGTGGACGGAAGATGTTAAAATTGATTGTGTTTTCGTTTTAATATTTTCTTTTTTGCACGTTAGCGTTTTGAACGATATCTTAGATAGTTTTTTAAAAGCGCTCGCTTATCATCTTTTGTCATAAATGAAAATGTACTAAAGCAAAGATCTCATCCGTTATATGTCTATTTTTAATAATAAAGAAAAACCTGTATCGCTTTCAAAATGTACATAAGTAATAAATCAAGGGGTGATTGTCTACTCTCTGGTAGAGGTAGACCGATTTCTTTTGAAATAATTAGCATGTAAAGTGTAATGTGATACTTGTTCATGGGATACACCCAATAAAAATTGAAATGCAAAGCATTCAAATTTATATTTTCGTAACAAAATAGCACTAGTTTAAAATATTCAAAGTTATAGTCTCGTAAGATTGCAAATAGTATTGCGATTTCAAACCGGTCTTTAGCGATATTCTTGTTGGAGTCGCTCGATCAATTTATCATTTTATCTTGTGAAAAATCAGTATGTCCGTCATAGATGCCTGCGTGCACGAAATAAAATAACAGTAAGAACAAGCAAATACGTAGTAACATTCAAAAATTATCACATCACACAGCTAGTAATAACCTAAACCAAACACTCTTCTGTTCGGTAAATTGTAAACTGTAATTTGGATAAAACTAAAGTGAAATGAAACCATTCATTTATAGTATAGATAACTATGAAATTTCAAAGCTTTTCTGGTCAAGGGTGGTCTTAATAAGACTGTACTGGTCTGGTATCAGACAAATAAATTGTAGACATCATACCTACACCATTTATTAATATTCAATACTAAAACTATAATCAAGACGTTAAAATATTAAGAAACATTGACGTTATAAATATACATATTAATCATTAAATCCAAATATTTTTGAGGGTTTTGAGTGAACTTATTAAAACAGAATGTACTCTTGCAGGATCTGACAGGACAAAACAGCAATGATTCGGGAGGCAGCGGAGGCGCGGGGCGCGCTTCGACGCCGCACCTGAGGCCCACACCAAGTCCCACCGGCTCCAGCGGCTCCCGCTCCATGTCACCAGCTGTCGGTGAGTTCCTTCTTAATTGTCTGCAAGATACTCTAAGAGATGTACGGCCCCAATGCAAATTAGTTTGGCATTTTCAATCTTTCATTTACTGAGTTTGTTTTTCTGTAACGATGTTATTATAACCACAAAAATATTTTTAACATTTCATCACAATAAATTTAAAAATAAATGATGTGAATTTAAAATGAATACACATTACAAAACAATTTAAGTGAATACATGAATATGAATGAACATGGAAACATTAATTGCTGCAATTGAGACGGCGCAACGGTTTGAATGTTGAATGATTGTACGCAGCTGATGGTTTGACAGATCTAAATGAGAGATGATAAACGTTGCCTTGTAGAGGCGAACACGCGGTGTATCGTTTGACGCAGCCTCATGACTGTAAGAGATAAGGCGCCAGTGTCAGATTAGTTTATTTTAACCAGGCAATGCAAGCAAATTTGTAATTTTTTTTATTTTTACAAGTTTTGCCCTCAAATCCGACTGATTTTATAGTTTTACTTATGGACCCAAGTACGTACCTATTTGTCAGAATGTTCATAAATTCTATTATGTACTAGGGCGCGATACACTAGTAGAGATTATAATTACATTGTTATTTTTATGTTATTATATAATTTTCTGTATTACTCGTGATATTCGTCTGTATTATAACTGTGTAAGAAAAATATACTTTGGTGGATCCTTTCGACTCTCCCACGGTTTATAAGTCTTTAATGATTAAATGAAACATGTCCGTCTGTGTAATGTGTTAGAAGGTTTAATGAAGTGACACCGGATCATTCTTCAGAGTTAATCATGGTGCACTGTACATAGCATTGATACGTTCACAATGCTTAAATTGGCAACTAAGCTTGCGGTTCTGTAGTGGCCAGGGCGTTGTTGCACTTTTATGACTTTGTAGAGTGAACGCCATTGGGACGCCTTTGTTTCTGTTCCTCGCTTCACGAATGAACGCATTCATTTCAATTTGTATAGATTAGAGCAGAAGCGATCGGGTCCGCCTTCCGTTATTCAATCGTTTTATTGTTCGGTTACCGTTTTGTATGTACATGTTCAGTTCGGAAAACAGTAGTCTCTTCGAAAGGCATGTTGATTATTTCATTGTGCATACTTCGTCACTGACAGACGCGGGCTTTCCCGACATTGACCCACATAGCTCGAGCGCCCAGAGTACACCGTATTTTGCCCCTTTTGCGGGCGCGAACCACCCCGTCCTCCCACCTTATATACGAGTAAGGGGTGGTCGCGGTATATAGAGCCTCGTGAAAAACTTACCCCCTCCGAGGGGGGTGAGCACGCAAAACAGGACCCGCCACCCCCGAGTGTCGACGCGTCAGTCTTACGTGCCGGACCATCAATGCAATCCCCAACAACAATCTTCCAACTACTTTAACGTACTAATTGTTTTTCCAAAGGTGCTGTTTTTTTCTTTAAAATATAGATTTTATGCTATTTTATTCATTGACGATACCGTTGCGCAGGGGCTAATCATTTAGTAGCAACGTTGCAGGGCCGTGAGTTCGAATCCCACACGGAACAAGGGCTTGTATGGCTTACAAGTACTTGTTCCGGGTTTGGATATGGGACCTTGAGCAATTTGAAATTGTATGTAAACCGTCTCTATAAACCGTTTTTATAAAAAATGCTAAATAAATAATTTTATCAATTAGCTCAATATGAATCTGTATGTATTACGTGCTAGGTTTCAAGATACAAGATATATAAAAGCTTATTATGAAAGGTAAATCGTAGAGCACGGAATCATTTGGGCCTTTAGAGAAAATGAATTTAAAAACTAGCTTTTATTGGCGTTGCTAAGGCAAGCATTCGGGTCCATTATCAGATCAACTTCCATGTTACCAAAATATTGCATTGTCATCGCAGTTACATAAGTAGGTGTATCAAATTTCAGCACGATCGGATTGTCAGCAAGTGCTTCAAAAATTGATTACAAATTTTAAATTGAAATGACATACGAAGTAACCAAAATAATCAGAAGCTTGTGAAAATGCTTTCACAAGCTTTATGTATGTTAAGAATTTACGAAGGACACTAATATCAAGCCGCGAACATTTGATAGGCTGTAATGAATGAATGAAAATGTCTTAATTCATTACTGAGATACAAAACAACTGAAAGACCAAAATTTACTATACATTTTACCCCATTTCTAAGTATACAAATATTTCACGATTCATACAAGTATTTCATATAAATTTAGCAGCAACCGTTCGGTATTTTCGATATCCGATATCGCTTTCCTGTTATTCACCTCATTAAAAAAGCCCAACAAATAAAATGTAAATTCTTCGACGTTCGAAAATGTTGCAGAAAGTTCCGCGTATTGCTCATAGCCGCAGCCAGGTGATAGTTGCCCGGACTCATTAGTGAGTCAACAGCCGAGCGAACCGTTGACGACTGGCGGCTTTAATGATATATCATTCAAATATTAAGTGATACGTGTATGACAAGTATAGCCCGAAAGACGTTCAAAGATTCCCGCTTACGTTCCACAATGTTCCAAAAGATTTTGCACTCAGTACAATTTTCATAGAAAATTAACGGTTTGACGCAAACTTTACACTAGATGAGACTCAATAGCGCGGAAATGAAAGGGTGACAATGATATTTTTAAAAGCATTAACACCCCTTTCCTGTCGACATAGCAGGAATTGATTACAACCAGTTTGCTTTATTTTCTAAAGCTTACAGTAACGGAGTTGAATAATTTATCAGTATCTGTCTTTTTATCTAATTACAACGTGGATGTTTTTGTATACAAGTCAAACGAGCACACAATCCACCTGATGATAAGTAGATGTTGATATATGCTATCCCCGATTAAGACAATTTCCTTTTTATAAAATTGATATGACAAACGATCTTATATTTCGTCTGATTGTACGCGATTACTGCAGCCCGTGGACAATTTGCATCTGATTTCAAACAAAGAAGCTACAGATGCGCCGTCACCGAGAACTAAAACAGAATGCCTTATAGCCTGTAGCTCTCTATACCCTTTAGAAGTGAATATTATAGCAGTGCACGCAATGCTCCTTGACGCCAGAAATAAGTAAGAGGGTGTTACTTACCCTGATGGATTCTTAGGCGGAATAACAGTCCCACCACCTAGCGAAGGATTCCACTTAGTAAATGCACAATACATCAACTTTATTATTTGTTTCAGTTGTTAGAAGTTAATTTGCTCATTTCCGCGTAATAAAATAAAGTAATGTGTCCTGTCCCGTCTGAAGTGCACCTTGCACCCTAATAGTTTCTTAGCTGTCTGCCTCCGCAGAGTCTACTTCACCTGAGGATGCCTCGTCTAGAGGCGAAACTCGTATCGTATTATCGAGGGTGGTATGTCATTACTAGTGTGGTGGTGCTGTGATTGATGGTGACGGGGATAGTATACGCAATTGAGCTAGTGTAGGAGGTGCTCTTTATGCTGGGCAGAACACTTCATTTTATTTTATTTTATTATTTTTACGTAGTAGAGCCATGGGTCGGCTCGACCGGGGAAGGACCACGCTCTCACAGAATACCAGCGTAAAATAGCAGCTTAACGCTGCTGTGTTTCGTTTGGTGAGTGTAGAAAACCGGAGACCCTATTTTCTGGAAACGGGGCATTCCATCTTAGGCCTCACGGGTGATAACGCATCTGCATTTTGATTCATATTTGAGGATAGATATAGATGTCTATGGGCCATAGCAATCACTTACCATCAGGTAGACTGTGTGCTCGTTTGTCAACCTTATCCTATAAAAAAAATATTATGCGGAAATGAGCAAATTAAGTTCTAACAACTGCAATATATAATGGATTTCTGCAAATTAACGCCTGACTATTAATTATTTTATTATTTGTGCTATATACTCCTATTTGAGTGTGTGGATTACATTAAAAGAAAAGGGAATGAAAGTGAACGCAAGTAAGACGAAAGTTATGGTTTTTGAAAGAGAAGAAAGTAAAACGATATGTGAAATAAGAATAGAAGGGGAGTTGGTAGAGCAAGTAGATGAGTTTGTATATTTGGGATGTGTGTTTAGCAGGGATGGTAGATATGATAAGGATATAGAACGACGAGTGAATGCAGGAAATAGAGTGAATGGGGCTCTACACTCTATTGTGAAAAGTCAGAATGTGTCCAAAAAGGCACGTATGGCAATTCACAATGCTGTGTTAGTACCTACTTTAATGTATGGTAGTGAAAGTTGGGTGTGGCAGAAGAAGCATGAGAGTAGAATAAATGCTGTAGAAATGCGGTCATTAAGGAGTATGTTAGGGATGAAGCTGAATGACAGAGTGAGAAATTGTTTAATAAGAGAAGAGTGTGGTTTGCAAGATGATGTTGTGACCAGGATTAAGAAAGGAATGCTTCGGTGGTTTGGCCATGTAGAAAGAATGAATGAGGAAAGAGTGACAAAGCAAATTTATGTTGCAGAGGTGAACGGCATAGTCGGGAAGGGTCGCCCTAGGCGAAAGTTTATCGACCAAATTGGCGATATATTAAAAATGGGCCAAATCAAGAGTACCTTTAACCGACGAGCGTGTATGCGTAGGTATATGGATGTGGAGGAAGCGAGAGAGGTGTGTCAGGATCGTGCCAAATGGAAGTCCATAATCTCTGCCTACCCCTCTGGGTGACAGGCGTGAGTGTTTATGTTATGTTATGTTGAGTGTGTGGATTATGTAGCTGCAGAGTGACTCTATCTCGTATAAATTAACTTCACGACAAGAATGAATACATCACTAATTATGAAAAAGTGATATGGTAGCCAAGCGTTGGCTTGTAATAAGTACATTAATATAAAAAAATATGTATTGATACTTTTTCAGATAGCTGGTTGTATTATGATCAATTAAATGCACATTAAGGTCTATTACCAATGCATTTTTTCTACATATTATACAACATTAATGTAAAAATAATGTAAAAAGCACAATTCGCATGCTTGTTAACTAAAACTACCATTTGTTTATACAT